GTCTCCCTGCTTCGGCATCCGTTGGAGCCGTTGTGGAGATAAAATGAAAGAGTTGCTATCATTTTCTCCGTGCATCGTTTTTCTTGTTTCTGTGACAAAATACTTGACAAAAGCAATTTAAGGGAGGAGGGGTTTGTTTGGGCTCACAGTCAGCACAAGTGTGTATGCGTGTGTGGGGGGGGGTACAGTTCATCAAGGCAGGGAAGGCATAGTGTGTGTGTATTATATGTGTGTGTTTGTGCATGTGCACGCATGTGCTGTTGTGCGTGTGAGTGTGTGTGTGTAGGGGGTACAGCCCATCAAGGCAGGGAAGGCATGGTGTGTGTGTGTGTGTTATATGTGTGTGTGTATTTGTGCACGTGCACGCATGTGCTGTTGTGCATGTGTAGGGGGTACAGCCCATCAAGGCAGGGAAGGCGTGGCAGCAGGAGGGTCAGGCGACTGGTCACATGGCAGCCACAATCAAGAAGCAGAGAGAGCTGAACGCTGATGCTCAGCTCGCTTTCTCCTTTTTATTCAGTCCGGAACCCCAGTCCCTGGAACAGTGCCATCCACATTTAGGGTGGGTCTTCCCTCCTCAACTTACCCAGTCTAGAAGCTCCCTCACAGACCTGCCCAGAGGCTGGTCTCGCAGGTGGTTGTAGCTCCCTTCTAGTTGGCTGTATCTGCCATCACACAGGCTTGGAACAAGACTCGGAAAGTAAAGAGAGCTCAGCTATCAGGCTGGTGTCTGTAGACATCCCTCTTGTTTCTCTTCCAGGATGGACGGATTAGAGAAAGTTCAGCATTCCCTGAGTCTCCTTTGTCGTGGGAGTTCATTGATTTACCCTGAAATGCAAACATTCACCCTCATGCCCTCTGCCCAAGGTTGATGTCTGTTTTCATCATAGGCAACGCAAAGGAGAAACTTTGGGTTGAGATTAGAACGAGATGAAAAGTCATTTTTTAAAAATGTGTGTGTGCATGTGTGATTTGGGGGAGAAGCGTACAGGTGCCGGCAGAGACCAGAGGCATGCAGTCCTCCTTGGAGTTAGAGTTTCAGGTGAGCTGCCAGACATGGAGACACAGGGACCAAATTTGGGTCTTCTGGAAGAGCAACAAGTGCTTTTAACCACTGAGCCTTTTCTCTAGACGATGAAAGGTCGTCTTTGGTATCATCAGGCACGCCTCTAGCCTCATAAGCAAAGTGAAGGATGCTTTGGTTCAGGGTGGGATTCTCTCCATAGAAGTCTGGATGCACAGAGCTGCTCTGTAGTTGGCCACATGGGGACCGAAGCTACTTAGAATCACCTACTGATGGGAAGGGAGGTCTTAGCCCTCATGTTGAAGACACCCAGGGTCTGGTGACGCGTTGTATTACCTAGACCAGAGACATGGAAGGGTCAGGCGTGTGTTCTGGCTGTGTGTCTACAAAATTTCAAGGGGAAACTTCCATATGTAATGTGCTTTTCAGACAGCCTTAAAGTTGATTTAGGACCAAAGTACAATCACAGCACACAGCACGAGAAGAATGGGTGGGGGCGTGGCTCAGTTGGTATGCTTGTCTGACAGGCTGGACTCTCTGGAGTCCATCCCCAGTCCCACATTAGTGGCGATTGCCTGGGATCCTAGCAATGGGGAAGTGGAGACATGAGGAGTGGAAGTTTAAGGTCATCCTTGGCTACATAGGGAGTTTGAGGCCAGCCTGGGCTACATGAGACCCGGCCTCAAAGAAAAAGAATACATTTTTTTCTTCCCCTTTGTCTCACCATTCAAGCTATAGGCTGAAAAAAAAAAAAAAACTTTAACACAAATAAATTACACACGTGTATTTTGTTCTTCTTTTGGCAATTTTTAATCTTATTTTTGCTACATTTTAGATAATAGGACATATCATAAGATCCACTAAATATTTTAGATAGTCATTTTTTTTTGTAAGTGCCCATATGGGGGCTTAGACAAACGAAATCACAGAAACAAACATCTCAAGAGTAGAGTGTTAGTCACTACAACAGTTTCCTGAAAATAGCAGTTCAAAACTGCCATCTTAAAGTCTGGAGCCCCAGATCCCAATGTTGCCCTTTTAGCATAACAAAGGATTGCCTTAAGGGTGTTTCTATGACACACAGGCTGTCTCCCAGTCCCTCCTTCTTTCCTGTTCTAGAGCCCTCCCTCTGAGCCCCTGGAAGAGGAGGAAAAAGAAAAGCAGCAGCAGGCAGCCAGTGCTTTGTCTCTTGCTGGCCATAGAATTTATTCAGTAATTTACTCTTCAGCTAACTGTAGGCATGGCCCTTGCCTCTGGGCGCTGGTTCAAAAACACAGAAATGAGAGAACAGATTGGCTTGGCCAAGCACAACTCCCAGTCAGCCCTGCTCTCTCCTCCCTCCTCCTGTCACCGCTGTTAGGCACAGGCGCTGGAGACTGGCTGGAGACACGCTAGTGTTTGTGTAGCCTGTGCATCTCCACATCTCCTTTGCATCCGCACCCTCTCTTCCCCCCATCCTCCCTCAGAAAGGTGACAACAGAGCTGGGGTGTCCTGTTCCTAGCAGGCCACCTGCGATGGCCGGGAAGGTCTCCAGAGGCTGGGAGGTGGCTCAGGCAGGTAGTGAAGTACACCCTGGGCACCCACATAAACACGCTGGGTGTGGCAGCACTCACAGTCCCAGTCCTGGGGAGGTGGAGACAGGCAGGTGACTGGAGCTCCTAGGCTGGCCAGCCTAACCGAAGCAGAGAACTCACAGTTCATTAAGAGACACTGTTGAAGATGAAGGGGCTAAAGAGATGGCTCAGTGGTTAGGAGCTCACTCCTCTGCTGTTTCCAACACAGCCCACAACCGGCCAGTCACAACCTCCTATAGCCCCATTTCTGGGGATCCAACGCCCTCTTCTGGCCTCGTGCGGGCACATGCCTAAACACATAAATAAGTGTTTAAAAAATAATAGGGTAGAAATTGTATGAACAAGACAGCTGAACTCTGGCTTCGTGTGTGTATGTGCCCATTCCCAGCACAGAACTTCTGAACTGACTTTGTATCCAGCAAAGCTTTCCTTGGCTCCTAGAAACCCAGAGCAAAGGTAACAAGATGACTTCCCCTGACATTAAGCACCCAAAGGGGAATGGACTTGGCTGAACCTGTGGTGTCTTGGATGTACCAATGACCAATCTCAACTACTGGGGGCATTTGTTTTGTGTGTGTTATTTATAGCTGTTTTATTTGGGTCAGACTAAACAATGGTTGCTTCATTTCATATCAGCCATGTGTAGCCTTCGCTGAGCCACCTCCTGACAAGTAGAAGTTTATCTGAATGAGATGGGAGGTGGAGTTGATGAGGGTCCTATTTAATCAAGAGAGAATTGTCTTCTGATCAGATCGCCCCCGCCTGGTGGCTCATACTTGAAAATCACAGAGGGCCGAGATGGCTCCAGTTGATAAGATGATAACCACAGGAGAACCTGGGTTCAATTACCAGAACTGACATAAAAAGCCAGGCATCATGACACACCCATGTAACCACAGCACTGGGGATGCAGAGGCAGGAAGCTCCCTAGGGCTCACTGATAGCCATTCTACCCAGTAAGTGAACCCCAAGCCCACATGAGGGATCCTGTCACAAAAAAAGTAGATAACACCTGAGGGATGACACCTGAAGTACCTTCTGACCTCCACACACACTTGTATACGCAGACATACATACAACACACACACACACACACATTTCAAAACCTATAGTCACAAGGTAGCATAGCTTTTATGGTATAGCTTTCCACTTGGTATGTCATATTGAGAAGTTGTAGAACCCACAGGTAGGAGGACCAAAAGAAAAGCCTTTTTCTATCTCCTGGAATAGTCTATCCTGTACACATCCTGGCTTTGCAGGGGCTCGCTTTCAGAGATGTTTATGCTTCAAAGACCCTCCCTGCAGTCTGCACACTTCTTCAATATCACCCCTGCTGCCAATCACGCCTGGCTGTTGGTTGCAGTCGTTTAAGGAGACCATTTCTCAGAAGTGCAGTGCGTGGGGTGCTAGAGAGACGACTCAGTGGATAAGAGCTCTTCCAGAAGTCTTGAGTTCAATTCCCAGCGACTACATGGTTACTCACAGCCATCTATAATGGAATCTAATGCCCTCCTCTGACATGCAGGTGTTCATACAGACAAAGCGTTCATATATTTAAAAACTAATTAATTAATTGAAAATAAAACATGCGCTGTAATGTAGTGTGGCTGTTGCGCAGGCAGCCTCGCTTGTACTTACCAAGCCAAAGCGGCTTAGGATATCATCAAGCCATGACTGTCATGGTACAATCCATGTTTGACCATGATACAGTAGTATATGGTACATGGCTGTACATACTGGGTTTGTGTGTATAGGTCAGAGGTGGATGTTTAATATCTTCTTCATTAACTTCCATCTTAGTATTTATCCGTCTACCTGTCGGTCTGTCTGTTTTGAGGCAAGGTCTCTCAGTGAACCTTGAGTTCACCCTTTTCTGCTAGACAGGCTGGCTATCGAGGCCCTGGGGTCCACCTGACTCCGTCAATGCTGGGATTGTAGATGTGCACCCCCACCCCAGCCTTTTCTCTGCATGCATCTATGATAGAGCTTAGGAATTCGTGCTTGCGTGGCCAGTGCCTTCCTCCCTGAGCCGCCTCAGCCTGATCAAACTTGAGTTGCCAGGCTTAGCCGCAGCCCTCCACAGTCTCTGGCTGAATGTGGGACTCACGGGCGAGACCGTGCTGCCCCCCACTCAGCCATCGCCCCAGCCCCTGTGTATCTTTTATCAGAGAAAACCCCACAGAGGAGGTGAAATTGTGGATTATGCTGCTTGATTCTGATTTACCCAAACTAGATGGCAAACCCAGCTGGAATCATAGCTGACTGAGCTCCCGGGTGAGGCATAAACAGATTAAGTACAAGCAGTACCAGTGGCTTAGACGGCCTGTGTTGAGTCTGTAATGCAACCGCTGGTCTGTGCCTGCAAAATGTTCACAGCCCTGTCTTTTGCTCTCTACATCAGCTCACACCCCAGACAACAGCTTCCTGGGCTTCGTGGTCGAGCAGCACCTGAACTCCAGTGACATCCACCACATTAACGAGATCAAAAGGCAGAACCAGTCCCTGGTATATGGCAAAGTGGATAGTTTCTGGAAGGTGAGTCAGCCCGCCAGCGTGCCGAGCTCTCTGAAAGGAAGCTTGTGAGGTAATTTAATTTTGCTTTGATCCGGGGAGTAATCAAGCCAAGCACCCGGGGCTTGCGTCGTCCGCTAGACATGAACAGAAGTGCGCAAGTGTTGAGTCGCTCTCGCAGGCTGGCGTCTTAGCTGAGCCTGGGGTTGCTTGTCCCTCCTTAGAGCATCAGTACCCTACCCTTTTACCTCTTTGCATGTTAGATGTGAAAAGTGGACCAGGGAGATGCTCGGTGGGTTGAGTGCATGAGGACCTGAACTCAGTTTCCGAGGGCCACATAAAAAGTAGAGCATGGTAACATATGCTTGCAACTCCAGCAGTGCTGGGTGGATGCAAGACAGAGGGTCCCTAGGACTCGTTGGTCAGCCGGTCTAGCTGAATCGGTGTGTTCCAGGTTCAGTGAGAGATCCTGCCTCAGAAAATCCAAGTGGACCATGACATAGAAGGTTTAATGGGTAGTAACCTATATATATATATAAATATATATATCAGCCTCAGGGAGCCAATATAGTAATTTTGAAAGACTTTTGAAGGACAGACATCCCCAGGACTTTTCAAACATATTTCTTCCTTAATGCCCAATAAAACCCTTCTTGGAATAATCACAAGCTGTGACCTTGTGTCCCCCCGATGGTGGAAGTTAGAAACTGACCCCTGAGGGTATCAGGGACGTGCACAACTAGGTCCAGTTGCTTTTCTGATCTGCTGTTCAGAAAATAAAAGGTACAGACCCTTCAGGTTTGTAGTGCTGACTGTACCAAAGGAGCAAGGGGGATGGCAGGGGTTTGTTTTTTTTTTTTTTTACATGTATTCATTTCTGTGTGTGTGTGTGTGTGTGTGTGTGTGTGTGTGTGTGTGTGTGTGT